CTTGGACCATCTTGGGCGAATTTGGAGGCCATCTTGGACCATCTTGGAGGCCATCTTGGGCCAACGTGGCCATCTTGGAGGCCATCTTGAGCCGTCTTGGAGAATTGTTTGTGGACGTTGAGGTCGTCTGCGGTCCTGGAAGAGCCTCCCGGCACCCCTGCGGCACGGGCGGAGGCGCCAGGGGGAGTTCTTTTTTGGAAAGAGAGCCAAAACCAAACCGTTGCCTTTTCGGAAGCGCCCGTGTGGCCGAACGTTGAGGCCAGACCTGCCAAGCTATCGGACCATGTGTTCCCCGAGTCGGTTTGGAAAGCCTTCGGGGAACACGTGGGCATCTCGGAGGACATGTTGGCCGCCTGGAGGCCATTTTGAGCCTCTCGGGCCTTCTTGGAGGACGTCTTGGAGGGCTTCTGGGCCGTCTTGGCGTCTTGGAGGCCTCTTGGGTCGTCTTGGGGGCCTCTTGGGGCCGTCCCGGGCCTCTTGGGCGATCTTTTGGGGCACTTGGGCCGTCTCGCGTCGTCGGAAGGCTGAAAACAAGTAAATGCCACAATCCTTCAAAAACCCAATGGGGAATCCATGATTTTTGCATTTTCGGGCTTTCCTGGAGGCCCTCTTGGAGGCATCTTGGGCCGTCTTAGGCCATCTTAGCGCCATCTTCGGCCGTCTTGGTGGGCTCCTGGCCCGTCCGACGCCGTCGGAAGCCGCTTGGGGGGCCTCTGAGCCGACTCGGGGCCCTCTTGGAATGCTCCAGGGCCGTTGGAGGCCATCTTGGGCGTCGTAAAGGCCCCTCGGGGCCGTCTTGGGGGCCTCTTGGGGCCGTCTTGGGGGCCTCTTGGGCCGTTCTGGGGCCATCTTGGAGGCCTATCGGGCGATCGTTGGGGGCTCTTGGGCCGTCTCGGGCCGTCAGAAGGCCGAAACGAAGCAAATGTCAGAATCCTTCGAAAACCTACGGAAAACTACGGATTTTGGCCTTTTCTGGCCTTCCTGGAGGCCCTCTTGGAGGCCTCTGGGGCCGTCTCCTGGCCCGTCTGACGCCGTCGGAAGCCGTTTGGGGGAGCCTTGCTGGGCCGACTTGGGGCCGTCTTGGGGTGCTCCAGGGCCGTCTTAGAGGCCATCTTGGGCGTCTTGGAGGCCTCTTGGGTCGTCTTTGTGCCCTCTTGGGGCCGTCTTGGGGGCCTCTTGGGCAGTCCTGAGGCCATCTTGGAGGCCTCTTGGGCGCTGTGGGGGCGATCTTGAGGGCCTCTTGGGTCGTCTTGGGTCGTCGGAAAGCCGAGAAGAAGCGAATGCCAAAATCCTTCAAACACCTGAGGAAACTCAATGAGTTGGGCCTCTTCGGGCCCTCCTGGAGTACCTCTTGGAGGCCTCTCGGGCCGTCTTGGAGGCCATGGTCTTGGGTCCTGGAAGGGGGGGGGGGTCGACCGAGCAGGTCGGTGCGCCGTCCGTGGCGGGTTGACCGGGGACCACGCGGAGGCTGTCGTCGTGGTGGTGGTGGTGGTGGTGGTGGTGGTGGTGGTGGTGGTGGTAGTAGTAGTAGTAGTAGTAGTAGTGGTGGTGGTGGTGGTGGTGGTGGTGGTGGTGGTGGTGGTGGTGGTGGTGGTGGTGGTGGTGGTGGTGGGGGTGGTGGGGGTGGTGGGAGGAGGAGGAGGAGGAGGAGGAGGAGCAGTAGGAGTAGGAGTAGGAGTAGTAGTCGTCTTGATATTATGGGTATGATTATGTTGTCGTGTTGCAGCGCGATGACGGTAGTATTGTTTCAGCTCTTCTTCATTCACCATCCGATTGATACAGTCAACCCGCATAGTAAGGATGGGCGATTGTCCGAAGGGTACCCTTGCATCCTTGCTTCCTCGGTTCATTTTTAGCCACTTTCGCTGGCCGCGCCTCGCTCGAAACGCTTCGAAACAGCCTTCCAAGGCCCTTGCATCCTAATCGTGCATCATGATGATACGGTCCGACTGTTTGTTCAAGGACCCTGGTTGCTCTTTGCTGCCTCAGGGGGACAGTTTAGGGGGCCTCTTGGGAGCCTCTTGGGGGCCTCTTGGGGAGACTCTCGGGGGCCTCTCGGGCTTCCTGGGGGCCTCTTGGGGGCCTCTTGGAATTCAGCATCGTTCCTTGTCTTTCTCGGGTCGAAGTGCTGCTTGATCTCGCCTCGTCCGGCATAGTCCTCGGATGACCCTCGGATGTCACAAACCCAAGACAGACGCCCAATCCCAAAAACGCGAGGGCCAAGGCAGCACGCAGGCTCCTCGAGACTTCGGGGAGGGAGATTTTGGGGCTCAGGGTTTTACCAGGGTGACAACGACGAACGCAGACCATACCCCGAAACCTTTGGCCGATCTTCGAATCCTATGTGCATTCGCGATTGTGGGGTTGGGGCTGTGTTTTTTCTTGGTCCGGATGAACGTTGGCTCCGCAGCTCCTCGGTGGGGCCGGACGGTTCTGGAGCGTTCCCGCGCAGGCCTCCAGGAGCTGCCTCATGGAGACGTCTGCAGGCGCACGCAGGATCCCCGACGCCGTGGCTTTTCCACATGGCGCCCCAGAGGTCTATCCGAGGCCCGAAAACCATCACTTCACTAATTTTGGGCCCAAGGGCCCACTGAGGCCCCAGGGGCCCCAGATTAGTGAAGTGATGTTTTGTCCCACCTAAGGACCCCGAAATTCATCACTTCACTAAACCGAACCCAGGACGAAAGTCAGGGGCCGAATTGCTGCTGTGATGCCACATCGGCCTCGTAGTCTAGACTCAAGTCGGGCAGGTCCTTCTACAAGAGGAAAATTTCGAGGGGGGTCTAGATCGGGACAAAATCGGATCGGGATAACTCGAAATCTCTGAGAATCGGCTGGTTTGGAGGATGTATTGGGCGCCGCGGTCGCTCCAGAGCGTTCCGGAACGCTCTGAGAGCGCTCCGGAACGCTCTGGAGCGATTTATCCCGATCCTAGCCCTGTTTTATCTTTCTACAAGAGGAACATTCAAAGATGGTCAACAGTCCGGGTGAAGGGGCCGAACGGTCATGCTCTGCCCCTGGGTGAGTGGCTGAAGTGGGACTCCGCGATGTGTCTGTTGTTGTTTGTTGTTGTTGTTTGGCATCGTCACGTCCCCCCCCGCGGCCCGGCCCGAAACCCACCCACGACCCACCCCGCGACCCGCCCGCGACCCTCCCGCGAGCCACCCTGGACCCACCCCGCGACCAACCCGCGACCCACCCGCGACCAACCCGCAACCCACCCGCGACCCACTCGCGACCGACCCGCGACCCGCCCGCGACCGACCCGCGACCCACCCACGACCCACTCCCGACCCAGCCCGCGACCCACCCGCGACCCACCCGCGAACAGGCTAGCGACCCACCCACATTGTTGTAACGAAATATCGGCGCCTGCGGCGGGCTCGTTGTATCATTTGTTAAAAATTAGGCGCCTGCGGCGGTGTTCTTCAGAGTCTCGCAGTCTGCAGACATTCCCGCCGCCCCCTCACTCTTATCCGCGACTTGGGTTGCTAAGTAGTCTGGGGACGATTCTTCTATTATTGCGAAGGGCGAAGGCCTTAAGGCCGTTGCCGCCGACCCTGAAGGGGAACGACGACAACGGCGGTGGCGGCGACGACGACGACGACGTTGACGTGGGTCAGAGTCCTCATGGATGCTTCTTCGGGGGTGTCCTCGAAGCGCTCGTGGGCCTCTGGGCGACAATTTAGGGGCCTTTTGGGAGCCTCTTGGGGCCTCTTGGGGGCCTCTTGGGTCCATTCTGGTCCCTCGTCTAGGCACCCCCTTGGAGCCGTCCTTGGGGCCGTCTTGGAGGCGCCTTGGGCCATCTTGGGGCCCTCTTGGCCGTTTTTGGTCCCTCCTGGTTTGACTATGTTTGCGCATGTGTGGATCATTCTTACTTTTCTGACCAAATCCGACTAGGAGGACATGCCCGACCGAAGTCCAGACCCTTTCCCCGAGACCAGCTCCTCGTCCCGAGCCTTTCTTGTTGGCCACTTTAGGGCCCGGCGAGGGCCCCCCTTTCGATAGGGTGTGAGAAGTTGCCCCCCAATCCGCCCTCCGTGTGTTTGTCACGAGGAGGATCGATGAAGGACAACGCGAGGAGGAAGAGCCCCGCGGGGGCCAGGAGCGAGGGAGGAGGGGGACGTCCGCGCCTACATGATCGCGGGCTCAGGGCCCAGGGACCCCCCCCCCAGATGGGATGGGTCCCAGGGTCCTCGAGCCCCCCCCCCCAGATGGGTTGGGGCGGGGAGGACCATGAACAGAAACGTTTGGCGCTCCGCGCGGCTTTCTTGGATCTGCGCCTGGGCCCGCCCACCCGGCGGCGCCTCTGGCGCCGCCCCTGGCGCGTTCCGCGCGCCGTGGAGGGGGGTCTGGCGCAGATCCACGGAACCCGCGCGGAGCGCCAAACGTTTCTGTTTGTGGTGTTCTTTGTCTTCTTCAGTTGCCCCCCGAACCGCCCCTCGTTTTGTTTTTTCGTTTGCGTCACGAGGGGGGGATTGGGATAGGGGGGGGTACGAGATTTGCTGCATGCAGCTGGTTTCGGCCCTTCCGAGGGGCCCAGTCCTCGCTACACTGTCGCCTCCGGCGCCGGGAGGCGCCGGGAAAGTCAGCTATACGCGAGCTGGTTCTCGAACCCCCCCTATCCCCCCCTTTCGCCCGACCCGATGCTTTGCTGCGTCACGAGGAGGAGGTGGGGGAGGAGGAGGAGGAGGAGGAGGAGGAGGAGGAGGAGAGGAGGAGGAGGAGGAGGAGAGGAGGAGGAGGAGGAGGAGGAGGAGGAGGAAGGAGGAGGAGGAGGAGGAGGAGAGGAGGAGAGGAGGAGGAGGAGGAGGAGGAGGAGGAGGAGGAGGAGAGGAGGAGGAGGAGGAGGAGGAGGAGGAGGAGGAGGAGGAGGAGGAGGAGGAGGAGGAGGAGGAGGAGGAGGGAGGAGGAGGAGGAGGGAGGAGGAGGAGGAGAGGAGGAGGAGGAGGAGAGGAGGAGGAGGCCGAAAAAGCGGGAAGCTGCCCCCCTTGCCGCAGGAGAAGGAGAAGGACAGAGACCGCAAGGACTCCGGGGAGCGCCCCCCGGCGCCACGGCAGGCTGGCGCCTCTCCTGTCGGCGCGGTGGCGCGGCGGCGACCCCGCCGCCAGCGACCGAGGCGGCGCGCCGACGTTTCGAGCACTTGAGCGACTGCATTATCACTGATTTACCCTAATTTTGATGTGCTCGTCGAGCCTACAAACATGATTCATTTACCCCGAACTTGAGTCGTTCGCCGAGCCTGCAAACGCATGCGCATACCGTTCGTAGAGCTGCGAAGGTTCTGCGCATCTTCGCAGCTTCGGCTGGAACACATCAATGCTAGCGTAACTGAATCAATCCTGCAGTCGATCCCCTACCCGAACAGTGGCCCAGGATCAGCCGATGCCGAACGATCCGCCTCTTCGCAAGGCGCCGATCGCTCGGGCATCGTTCCCAACCATCCTGTTGGGTCCTCGTTCTGAAGAGGCAGCGCCCCGTGTCTCCTCTCTTCTCCTTCCTTCTCCAGCTCCTCCCTCCTCCCCATTCTCCAAACCCTGCCTCTGCCCTAAGCACCCAGTGCAGCGCTTGCTGGCCGCATAGGGAGCTCTACCGCACGCCTCCGTGGCGGTGTTCGCATGCGTCTCCACAGCTCAGCGCAGCGTTGCTCAAAGCGACGATCGCTCGGGTATTGTTTTTTTTGTTTCCCCTCTGGAAGGTCACGGTCGTTACCTGGGCCAGATACAGTCGGAGCCCTGAAGAAGGAACCCTTTTGGTTGGGGAGGGGCTCCGCGTTCCTTAAGTATTTCACAGCTTACCTCAGGTTTTCCTTATGATTTCGATGGGACATCGAAGTTTAACTTATGGAAAAAGGGGGCCTCGTTCCTTATTTCAGGTTCCTCAGGTCAACGCTCTGACTGTACACGGGGCAACGGACACTCCCGCCCTGCGTGCTGGCTCTCGCGCGCAGGCTGTGGCGATCGCGGCGCACCCCCGCCCTGACGGGCCCCACCCCAACACAGCGTTACCGGCACCCGTTCCCCCCCCCCTTCCGCGGGCTTACAAGAGTTTGGCCAAGCAGGGCTAGCAGTAAGAGCGGTAGCATACTCGTTTTTCTCGGCGCTCCCGTGCCACCGCTGGGCTCTTGTAGGGCCGTCCCCCCGGGACGTCTGACCAGCGCCTCGCCTCGCCTCGCCTCGCCTCGCCCCCCTTCCGCGGGCAACGAGCGTTACCAGACAAAACAAGTGCAGCAACCATATCTCGAGGTCCCTCAGATCTGGCGCAGCAGAACAGGTTACGGTTTCGAAAGCTCACCACCGGAGCCCCAGACCCCACCTTTCTGCCGCACTGTTCGAACCGTGTCGGTCTGCCAAGGTCCCAGGGCCCGCAAGCGGGCGACAATGCGAGGCGTGAAGCATTGCAACGCATGGATCTCAAGGAAGAGTTCACGGTTTAGCGGCCCAGGCAGCGTCAGGGACCAGTCGGCGTCGCCCCAGCATACGAAGACTTTTACTAAGATTGCGTCGTCCCCCCCTGGGGCGACACGCGCGCCGAGAAATCGTATAGCACATACCTCGTTGCGGGCGCGTCCTGGCCGTGCCGTGCGGGAGACGCTGTACTGCACGATTGCTCTACGATCTGCTCGGGTCGGACGCACGCCTCCGAGGAGGATGCACACAGGTAGTGGTACGTTCTGCACGGTCTCCCCAGGGACCGCAGGCCACCCGAGGAGGAGGAGGAGAAGGAGGAGGAGGAGGAGGAGATGGAGGAGGAGGAGGAGGAGGAGGAGGAGGAGGAGGAGGAGGAGGAGGAGGAGCAGGAGGGGGAGGAGGAGGAGGACGGGTCGCCTGAGCCCTTCGGAGAACCCCTCCAGTATTTTCAGTGTGCGTCCCAACCAACGCCGAAGTCGTGCCGGCACGAGGCCGCCGCGCCGCGACCCGTCACTCAAGGGCGCAACAAAGCGCCCTTACCCTGGTTTACGAGGCGTTGTGCCTTGAACCTCCTGTGGGCTGACAGGATAAACCCTGCGCGATGTGCGGCGTCCTGGCGGCATTCTAGGCTCTGGGACTTCCCGGGAGGTTTACAGACCACGCACTTGTAACCCAGGGTAGGTTTCTTTTGCATCCCGCCAACGAGCCACAAACGAGTTCGACGAAGGAGCCCTCCGAGGACGGGGCCGGCTCAACCACCAGAAGCCCAATGAGCTGCTCGCGGTGGTTCGCGGCCAGCGAGCGTGCCTGGAAGGGTGGGGGCGAGTGGCCACCGATCGCGCTCAAGGACGCCCGAGCCTCCCCCCTCTGCGTGGCCGAGGTCGCGGCTCGGGCGCCGTCGGGAGTCTGCCCCGGAGAACGGTGCGCAGCACCTCCGCCCGAGGCAGGATCGACGGGCCCTCCCGGAGCGGCTGCCCGTGGCTATACCCAGGCCAGCCACAACTGGGGGAGCTGTGGTCCTTGCCCCCCTAGGGGGCCCATCGATTTCGACACCCCTCTCGAGATCGTCGATGCGATGGGTTCCCCCAAGAGGGGGTAAGGACCACAGCTCCCCCAGCTGTGGCTGGTCGGATGCCCGTGCCACGGGGATCGACGCGGAGGTCGGAGCGGAGGTGGAGGAGCGCGGCCTCCTTGGGGGCCCCGCGGCACCCGCCGCCCTCGCCTCCTGCGCAGCCTCCCGGCCTTGAACGAAGGATTGCAAAAAAACCCCTTTGAACGAAGGATTGCAAAAAAAACCTTCGGTTTTTTTTGCAATCCTTCCGTTTTTTTGCAATCCTTCGTTCAAGTGCGCCCCGTGTCGGAGGGCACCAACTATACACCAACACCGATCCTGGCCCAGGATCACCCTGGGCCCAGGATCGGTGCATTTGCCTTCTTGCGCAAGGCAGGAGGGCGCATACACCGATCCTGGGCCCAGGGTGATCCTGGCCAGGATCGGTGTTGGTGTATAGTTGGTGCCTCCCTACCGTGCGCGCCTTGAACGAAGGATTGCAAAAAAAAAACCCTTTGAACGAAGGGTTGCAAAAAAGACCTTCGGTTTTTTGTTGCAATCCTTCGGTTGTTTTTGCAATCCTTCGTTCAAGTGCGCGCCCGGCGGCCTCCAAAGGCCTCGCCCGCGGCCCAGGATCGGTGTATATGCCTTCTTGCGCAGGGCAGGAGGGCGTGTACACCGATCCTGGGCCCAGGGCGATCCTGGCCAGGATCGGTGTTGGTGTATAGTTGGTGCCTCCCGGCCCCGTGCGCGCCCGGCGGCCTCCAAAGGCCTCGCCCGCGGCCGCGGCGGCGCCGAGGAAGGGGCGGGCGCTGCCTCTGCCCTGCGCCCCGGGGGGGGTGCCGAGCCGCCCCGCGGGCGCGCAGGCAGGAGGGCCCCGAAGGCGACGGGCCGACCCTCCGCCGCCTCCTCCTCCTCCTCCTCCTCCTCCTCCTCCTCCTCCTCCTCCTCCTCCTCCTCCTCCTCCTCCCCCACCTCCTCCTCGTGACGCAGCAAGGCATCGGGTCGGGCGAAAGGGGGGGATAGGGGGGGTTCGAGAACCAGCTCGCGTAGCTGACTTTCCCGAACCAGACATCGACGGCGACTTCCAGGAGGGCTCAGAGATATCACCAGGACATCGACGTCCTGATCCTCGTCGAGGTGTGAGGCTGTCCAGGTAGGGTCTGCAGGTCTGGAGTGTTCTTTGTTCGCACTCTGGAAGGTCAGGGCCCATGGGAGCTGTGGAGGGCATCGGATCGGCTGGCGGTCTCCCTCTGGGAGGCTTGGCACCTCGGGGCCGCGGGGGCCCGTGCAAGTGCCAGGCCCCGCGTGATCAATCCCTCTACGCCCCTACTCCTGGCATGACGCTGCTCAGTGCGAGTCGCATTGTATGGCATGGTTTGGCGGGGCATCTATTGGCACTGCGTGGCGCATTCCTCATGGCATGGTTCGGCGGGGCATTTGCTGATCGCTTCGCGCGTCTCCGCCAGCCCATCCAGAAAGGATTAACAGGCGAGTTGCCTTGAGCAGGAGAGGAGTGCAGGGGCGTGCAGTGGAGTGACAAACGAAGGCATCTGCCCATCCGAAGCTCAGGAAAAAGGCGAGGCAGACGAATGTGTCAACCACCAAGGCCCGCGCGGATCTTTCGATGTGGGAGCCTGTTGGAGGCTTCTTGGGGCATGGTTGGGGGTCTGTGCCTCCGGCGCTCTCTGGGGCTGTTTCGGAGGACATCGTTCAAGATAGGGGGTCTTCAATGATAGCCCTTTGATAGCCCGAAGGGCCGCTTCCAGGGCCATCTTGGGTCGCTTTTGGGGCGCTTTGGGGGATGCTTCTGAGCTCCTGGGGCATCTGTGGGCGTTTCTGGGGCGTTTCAGGGTTTGAGATTTCTTGAAGCCGTCTGTGGACGCTTCTGGGTTCCTCTTGGAGTTATCTCTCTCTCTCTCTCTCTCCCTCTCTCTCTCTCTTTTTCTTTGTTTCGGGGGATACGACCTTGGAGTCACCTTGAGCCCTGCAGAGCTTCTCGCAAGCGAAACAGCGAAACGGCGGACACCATGTGAAACGCTTTAATCGTTGAGCCCACTCAGAGCCATCTGTAAATTTGTGTTGGGCAATTCTGGAGGCAATCCTGTGCCAACGTGGGCCAGCCTGCGCCAGTTCGGAAGTCATCCTTGAGCATGCGGGGCCATGCTCATCGCCCCAACAATTGGATTCTGGATTCCTGAGGCCAGGGAAGAGGAGGAAGGAAAGGGGGATTTCCCAAAACCTCACACGACTCGTCGCCCCCAGCGATTGGGAGCTGGCGGACTCTGGCCCCGATCGCGTTGCCTCGAATGAGTTGCGTGGTTTCTCCCTTTCATTGTGTTCCATCTTCTTGTTATACTCTCCCCCTCTCTATTGTTTCTCCTCTGTGTGTTCTCTCTCTCTCTCTCTCTTTCTCTCTGTCCTCTGCCTTCCTCTCGCTCCCTCTCCCCCTCCCTCCCCTCCCTCCCCTCCCTCCCTCCCTCCCTCCCTCCCTCTCTCGGCCTCCCCCGCTCCTCTCTCGCCTCTCCGCCCCTCGACGCCGCCGTCCCGCCAGGACAGGAGCCGCTCGCGCGAGCGGCGCGACGACCGCCGCAAGGACCCGCGCCTCGCAGCCGGGCTCACGTCGGGCGCGTCCCGCCTACGGGAGGAATGCAGTCGGGGCCCTGAAGAAGGAACCCTTTTCGTTGGGGTGGGGCTCCGCGTTCCTGAAGTGTTTCGCAGCTTGCCTCAGGTTTTCCTTAGGTTTTCGATCTGAAATCGAAGTTTGATATGTGGAACAAAGGGGCTTCGTTCCTCATTTAGGGTTCCTTAGGTCAACGCCCCGACTGTATTCAAAATAACAGGCAAAACAGGAGTCTGGGGAGGATGGCTTCGACTATGGTTTGACCATTCTTGATTTCTGCTCTGGCATCTTCGTATTGTTCGTCCAAGTTCCGCCCGTCGGGGGACGTGCCCGACCTAAAGCTGGGCGTTTCTCGCGGCGGCGGTGGGCACGGCGGCGACGGGAGTGGCTCTGGCCGAGGGTGCTCTGAGCCAGTCGGGAACAGACGATCGAGGTTCGAACCTCGAAGATCGAGGTTCGTTGCTGTTCGGCTTTCGGGCCAGATGGCAGCTCGACAACTGGTGTGCCGGGTCCCCGGCAGGGGTCGGGGGACCCATTTCGGGCGAGTTTTGAACCCCCTCTCGAGTCGTGAGGAAGTCATGATTCGAGGCTTCGACAATCCTTCACGTTTCGCGTATCCCCACCAGCCCATCCAGAAGCGTTGCCGAGGAGACTTGTCAGGGAACGAGTGCAAGAAATTTTCAAGCGATGCCCTGGCGAGTTGCCTTCTTCAGGGACGTGTAGAAGCGTGCAGTGGAACGCCTACCCTTCAGTCGGGCGTGTCCCTCTACACTGAGGAACATTCTTAAATGGTTAAAACGTAGTCTAGGGACGATTTTTTAAATTCTTGTTTGAAAATGTTGAACTGTTCCTCAACTCTGCCCTACCCCGAGTGGTACGAGGAGGGGCCGGGTGAGGAGCACGATGGCGAGGGCGCGGAGGAAGAAGGAAACAGACGGACGAGCACGGGAACGAGGAGGAGGACGACGAGGAGGACGGGGGAGGAGGACGATGACGCCGAGGACGAGAAGGAGGACGGGGAGGAGGACAGTACGGAAGGGGAGGGACAGAACAAAGGGTGACGAGAGCGAGGAGAGGGAGGAGGAAAAGGAGGAGGAGGAGGAGGAGAGGGAGAAGGATCATGAAAAGGAGAAGGAGGAGGAGGAGGAGGTGGAGGAGGAGGAGAAGGAGGAAAGCCATCGGGTGTCCGAACCCTGGCTGACCCCCGCGGGGGCAGGCGGCCGCGCGGGCCGGCCTCAAGCGCGCGCTTCCCAGCAGGCGCCGCGATGTTTTGATGCACCATATTTCTCTTCTTTCTCGCCTGCATCAAGACAATGATCGAGACCAGGAGCAACCGACGACCCGTGAGGAGATCGTCGAGACCGTCTGAGAAGGCGGTTCGCCGTGTGGGATACGCGGTCAGAACAGGAAGGCGAGTAAGTATGCGAGACTGGAAACATATTGCCATCCAGCTCCAATGCGAGCAGCAGGCAGTTGTTCAGAAAGGTTCGTGTGACCCTCAGTTGCGGGCCGAGGCACCCGCATACACGCCAGGTGTATTTTTTTTCTCGAATTTCGGACATCGATAATGTGGCCCACACAAGCAGCGAGCTTCACGAATTCAGGCAAGACTTTTCCTGGCCGTGGCAACTTCCAGATGTCATCCAGGTGCCGACTTCCCGAGACACCTAGCGACAGTGCAGACGTGATCTGCTACAGCTCCGAGCAGCAGGAGGCCGATCTTCGGCAGCAGCCGCATCAATAATGGCAACAGTCGCATCAAGAATTGCAGCAGCCGCATCAAGAATGGCAGCAGTCGCGTCAAGAACAGCAGTCTTTTACTTTCTGGGCCCTTCGCTGGCTGCCAGACGTGGGCGAAGATACAACCCAGAACAAGGGCGCGCGAGAAGCGAAGGCAGAGCCAGAGTGTCCGCGAAGCGAGAAGCCCAATCCCTCCGTTGCTCTGAGCGGCGCGCCACCCTGCGAGAAGCAAGAGGGCGAGCTGAAGCCCAACGCCGTGCGAGCAGGGGCGGCGCCGACAGCGGGCGGCGTTGCAACTGCAGAAACTGACGCGTGTGAAAAGGCAGGCAGTGGCGGCCCTTGCGAGGAGGCAGGCAGCGGCAGCCCAGGCTACAGGACAGGCGCTGGCACTTTTGGCGACAGCTGCGAGGGCGGCCGCGTAGTCACAAGCCAGAACCAAAGCGCGTGCGAAGCGGAAGAACCAGAGCGTGCGCAAAGCGAGAAACAAACAAGTCTTCACCTCACCGCCTGCGGCCCGCCCCCAGAGGCGCCACCCTGCAAAGAGCAGTCGGGGGCGAAGCAAGAGTCCGACACGACCAACTACAGTGAGGCGGTCAGGGCACGCGAGCCTATGAACGCGAAGATAGAGCCCCTCCTCCACCTTGGCTCTAACCATAGTGCGCGATATAAGTCGGAGGCGAAGCTTGAGTCAGACGCGATCAGCTACAGCGCTGCAGTAAGGGACCGTGGACAGAAAGAGGCTAAGACAGGCCCTGTGCGATCCAGCTCCATCCCTGCGGTCAGCGTCTGCGAGAAGCGGGGGGCGAAGGAAGAGCCCGACGAGAACAGCTTCAGCGTCGCGATCGGGGCGGCCGCGGGCAGCGGCGCGAGGGGCCGGCAGCGGGCAGCGGCGCGAGAAGAGACGGCAGTGGCGCGAGAAGAGACGGGTGGCAGTGGTGCGAGAAGAGACGGCAGTGGTGCGATCAGGGCGGCCGCGGGCAGTGGTGCTCGAAGAGACGGCAGCTCCCCTCGACGGACCACGTCTCTCGACGACTCCCCGCGACGACACCCCTCGACCCCGCGACGACACCCCTCGGCAGTGGTGCGAGCGGCGGGCAGCGGTGCGAGCGGCGGGCAGTGGTGCGAGCGGCGGGCAGTGGAGCTCAGCGGCGAGTGGCAGTGGCGCGAGCGGCGGGCAATGGCGCTATGCAGCGGCAGCGGGCAGTGGCAGCTGCCAGCGACGACGCCCCCCGACGACATCCTTCGACGCCCCCCGACGACCCCGTGCCCATCGACGCCCCCTGACGACCCTCGACGCCCTTCGACGCCCCTCGACGACGACCCTCGACTCACCTCGACCCCCCTCGTCGACTCCGTGCCCATCGACGACCCTCAACGACCCTCGACGAACCCCAACGACCCTCGGCATCCCTCGACGACCCCCGACGAAGCAACCCCCCCAGAGGGCGTGCTCACGACCAGGGCATGCGAGCAGGCCAAGACGAAGCCCCGACGCCCCCCGACGACGCCCCCCTACGACCCCGCCCGGCGCCCCCTGACGACCTTCGACGTACCCCCGTCGGCGGCCCCCAACGACGCCCCTCGACGACGCCCTCCGACGCCGCCCCCGCAACGACGACCCACGACGACGCCTCAGCGGCAGCAGGAGGCACAGAGGCAGCGTGCGAAAAGAGGCGACAGTGGCAGCAGTGGAGGCAGCGTGCGAGAAGCGGCGGCAGCGACAGCCGCGGGCAGCGGTGATCCACTCCTGGCCGTCACCGCGGCAGCCCCGAGGGTCGCGGGCGACAGCGGCGAGAGCGACCCTGACAGCAGCCTAGTGCTGCCAGAGGCGCTCGGAGGAGGCGAAGCAACAAGCCAGAACCAAGCGAGCGCGAAGCGTGCAGAACCTCAGCGCGCGCGAAGCAAACACACACACAAACAACTACGAGACACGTCTGCCGGTGCCGCGGCCCCAAGCGAGAAGGAGGCTGCAGCGTGGACCGAGCGCGCCCCGCGCGAAGAGACGGCGAGGACAGCGGGCGTCCAGCGGGCAGTGGCAGCCGGCGGTGGCGCGGGCAGCGGCAGCAGGCAGTGGCAGCCAGCCAGCGACGACCCCCAACGATCCTCAGCGACGCCCTACGACCTTCGACGGCCCTCGACGACCCCCAACGACCCTCGACGGCCCTCGACGACCCCCGACTCGCCCCCCCTCCCCCAAACGACCCACGACGACATTCGACGACCCTCGTCGACCCCGCGCCCGACTCAGACGGCCCAGCCGACGACGACTCTGTCCTGGAGGACTCCGACAGCGACGCCGACGGCGACGCCACGCCCCAGGACACCCTGTCCGACGGCGGCGCGCGCTGCGGCAGCGGGCAGCGGCAGCCTGCAGTGCGAGAAGGGGCAGCGGCCAACGACGACTCCCCCGCCAGCGCCAACATATGGGAGAGCGGACAGATCCCACCGAACATCAGCAGGCCGTGGGACATCTTCGAGGAGGATCTCGGGAAACACGCTCAACGACGTCAGCGATAGAGGCGAGGAGGAGGCCTTGCGAGCACGCCTCGCTACCGTCCAAGCCGAGGGAGACCGCTCGGCCTTCTCGTTGCTCCCGCGCGATGAGCAGCGCGCCTGCGAGGAGGTCTCGTTCGCCGAGCTCGCAGCCTACTCGGCCTTCATGCGCTACGCCCGCGGCCGTGGCACCAGCGAGTGCATAGCCACGCAGGCCTGGAGCTCCCTGGGCAGCGAGGCGCAGGCAGAGTGGATCACCGAGAGCCCACGAGACGCGCTCGCCTCCGACCCGCCCTTCGCGCCGTACCTCAGGGGCGCAGAGGACGCAGGAGGACGCAGAAGGAAGACTAGCAGCCCCAGGAGTATCCCCACGAGGAGGACTCCGACGGCTGCCACCACACCAACCCCTACGACAAAGACGGCGCGCTTCATCCTCGAGGCCGTGTCCGACCCCCCAGAGGACGAGATCGATCCCGATGACCCTGATGGCCCAGCCGACCACGGCGACGCCACCAGAAACACCACGCCCCAGGAGAGCGTCTCCGACGGCGCGCCCCAACGCCAGCCCGGCGGCCAAGCCTCCACCCCGCGCCGACGGGAACCAGCAGCACACCTACGGGAACCAACAGCACACCCCCGAGAACCAGCTGCACACCAACGGGAACCAGCAGAGCACCGGGCACCAGCAGTGCATCGGGCACCAGCAGGGCTTCACGGAGGTAACCAACCTGAACAGCGGC